CCGCGCATGCTCCAAATGTGTAGGCAGAGTGCGTTTTGTATTGTTTTTTTGACAGGGATGGGTGGGGTGGGGGTGGGCATGGTTCCTGGTTGACCGCCGGTCGCCTGGGGAGGAGATGTATATTCGTAAAGAACAGTGATCAAGACCTCTCCCAAACGCAGACTGTTTGGCTCACTCCCAACGCCCTCCCAGCACATAAGTAGTACCCGAGTTTCAGCACATTCAGCGGTCGTCTTTGGATGGGCAGCTATGTTTGAAATCAATACAGACCTCAGGTACGCGACGCTGGGGCGAGGCGCGCCACGCGTGCCAGGCGCGCCACGTGCACCAGGCGCTCCTGGGGCCCAAGCGTGCCAGGCACGCCTGGTGCTCCAGATGCGCCACGTGCTCCGCGTGCGCCAAGTGTGCCGCATGCTCCAGTCGCGCCAGGTGCAACACTTTCGGGGCACGCGCAGAGTGCGCCAGGTGCGCCCACGCACATCGGGAAACATGTCCGCCCTCCCCCGCCATCCTTGTCGAACACCTCCGCGTAATCGCGGCGGAGTTGCCGTCGTGAGGTCTGGTGGGCCTGCACACAGCAGACAATATGCCAGCACCCTCGCCGTCCCTGTCAATAGCCAATGCAAAGTGCTCGCGGGCTGCCCGCGCATGCTGCAGATTTAGCCGTGAGGTGCAGTCTGTGTCGTGTCTTGACAAGGACGGTGGCCCCGCGGACAGCAGGCCACATGCTGGCACCCCTGCCGCCCCTGTCAACAACACGCAGCGCTCGCGGCCCCCCCGATCATGGCCCAAGACTTTGCCGCAGATCGTATTTTGCACCTTTTTTTTGGTCGGAATATAGGAGTTATTGCTTGGCACAACTCCGCCCGCGCCGGTATAACGACCCCGCGGCTGGCCGCGGGGGCGCCCTCGCTCGGCTGGTCGGCCGCGCGCTGGCCGACCCGCTTCCGCCTCCTCTGTTCGCGTCGTGCGGCGCGGTGCCGTGCCGTGCTTCCTCCGCCTGGTACTGGGGCGGGACATAAATACCGCGCCGTCTCCGCTCCTGGGGGAGGCTTCCTCCTCCCCCCCCCAGGGCCGTTCGTGGCGAGTGCAAGCGCCAGGATTTGTGTGACGGGGGTGGCGGGGTGTGGGGGGGGGGGCGGGCCCGCACGGTCCCGGGCTTGTCGCCGGTCGGGCGGGGCAGGGGGTGCGTCTTTCCCCAGGCAGTGCTTCGGTGGGGGAAGCCCTTCGTGGACCCTCTCCCCCCGCTCCCCAAGACTCAAGGCTGGTACGCGCGGGGGAGACCTGCGGTCGAAGTGCAGCTCAGCGGACCCACCGCAAGCTCTGCACACCTGGGGGCTGAGGGGGGGGTGTCTCAGGAGGGGAAGAAACACACAGACACAATTGATCGTCGATCCCCCGGAAAATACGGGAATCTATGGGAAGTGGTGGGGAAGGCACAAACTGAGAACATATGGGAAAACATGGGGAACATTTTTTTATTTGTGTGTATTTATTCGTGTGTTTGTGGGCCCCTTCCGTGTCGACCGAGGAGTGTGACAGGCGTGCTTGCTGTGGTCTGTCCGAGGCCCGTGGCACGTCGGGCCTCGTGCTCCTCGCGGGCGGCGCCGAGCCTCTCTGGCCGCTCGGCGGCCGGCCTGCCGGCGCCCGTCGCGCACCCCTCTGGTTTGCGCTTCTCTGTGGGTCGTGCGACCCGCCACGCGCAGGGGGGGGGTGGGGGGAGGGGGGAGGGCCTCCTCCTCCTCCTCCTCCTCCTCCTCCTCCTCCTCCTCCTCCTCTTCCTCATCCTCCCCCTCCTCCTCCTCCTCCTCCTCCTCCTCCTCCTCCTCCTCTCCTCCTCCTCCTCCTCCTCCTCCTCCTCCTCCCTCAGAAGCACCCCTGCTGCTCAGAGGGCGCGGGCCTCATCTGTACTATAGATGCGAGGCCGGCGCCTTCTGAGAAGCAGCCTCCTCCTAAGAAGCCCGTCCCCCTCCCCGTGGGGGGCCTCCTTGTGGGGGGCCCTCCTGGTGGGGGGCCTCCCTGGGGGGGGCCCTCCTTCTGGGGGGGCGGCCTCCTTGTGGGCGGCCTCCTTGTGGGGGGCGGCCTCCTTGTGCGCGCCGCCAGTGCGAGGCTCGCCTGCCGGGACGGTGCGCGCCGGTGCGGCGCGGGCCTGCGGCCGCCGGTCGCCGCCGTGGGTCGCCGCCGCGCATCGCGGTCTCGGTCTGGCGGTGCGAGGCTGGCGCGCGGGGCACTGCTTTCCGCTGCGCGGTTTTGTTTTCTGTGTTGCCCTGCACTGCTCTGCATTGCTCTGCATTGCCTTGCGTTGCTTGGCACGTCTTTGCACCTGTTTGCTCTGCACCGGGTTGCTTTGGGTCGCTTTGCGCTGCTTTGGATTGCTCTGCATTGCGCTGCATTGATTTTCACCGCGTTTCATTGCTTTGCTTTGCATTGCTGTGCAATGCGTTGCACTTTGAATTCTTTGCATTGCGTTGCATTGTTTTGTGTTGCTTTGTACTGCTTTGCGTTGATTCTCGTTGCTTTGCATTGCTTTGCATGTGTTTGCAGTGCTTTACATTGGTCTTCAGTGCTTTGCATTGCTTTGCGTTCCCTTGATTGGACTACGTTGATAGCACCACTTAGATTGCGCCGCATGGATAGACAGCAGCATTCAATCACTGTTTGGGGTCCACGCTGGCATACAAACATATTCTTTTTTATTTTTACAATCTGAGGCCCTGCGACCCCCCCCTAAACGGGAGCCCCAGATCCCTGGCCCTGGGGGTCCCCTGGACGCCTTTGCAGAAGGTTCCCCAGGCTTTTGGGAGCTCCTAGGGGCCCCTGCTGGGCCCGGGCAGCGGGCCCAAATCGGTCAGAAGGGCGGCCGAGCAGCCCCCCGAGGCCCCAAGATGCCCCACCCACCCACTAGACGCCCGAAGACGACCCTAAGAGCACCCCGAAGAAGCTGTCGAAATGCAGGACAACATGCATTTCCAGTGATGATTTTGGGAATGCTCTGTTCTTCGGTCTTCCAGGCGTCCGAGACCGCCCAAGAGGCCCGACAATCATGCCAAAGACGCCCCCCGAAGCATTCCGAAGCGTGACCCGGTCGTTCAGGGAGACCGCAGTTGGAAGCAGGGTGGCCCGAGGAAGCCCCCAGAGGCCCCCCGAAAGCGTCCAGGAGCCTCCAGAAGGCCCCCCAAAGCCATGTAAAACTTTCGTGAGGCCTCCGTGAAGCTCTCCAAAGAGGAGTCTCCGCAAAAAGAGCAGAGGAGGCTGGGGAAGAATTCGCAGGGGAGGGCGAGAACGAGGAAGAGGAAGAAGAAACATGAGGGAAGGATGACGAATGACATCATTATAACGACGATGTCGGATCGGATAAGGAGGAGGTATCGCTATTGTTTCTGCTTTACCGTCCTGCCCGTCCGCCGCGATTTCCGCCTGCACGCCGAACTTCAAGGACCATGGTGCATGGCGCGAAGCGCCAGTGCAGTCTTGTACAGATTTATATATATAATAATAGTAATAATACTAATAATAATAGTAATAATAATAATGTGGAACAGTGGTCAAGCTACCCCGGACGACGGCCGCGAGCCGTCTCGTTCACTCGCACTCGCCTTCCCACCACCTAGGCAGCGCACGAGTCGCAGCATATCCAGGGGCCGCCAGTGGACTGGACGGCCCCTGGGAACCAACACAGGCGCCGGGCGCGGCTGGTGCGCCGGACGCGCCACTCGCTCAACATCCGCCAGGTTTGCCGCGTGCTCCGCCCGACCCAGGTGCGCCACTTGCGCGGCGCGCGCGGGGTGTGCAAGGTGAGCCAGCAGATGTGACCGCACACGTCGGGAAACATGCCACCCCCCCCACTATTCCTTCAGACGCCCTGGGCGTGCAGGTTCGCGCTGTGGTTCACAGAGCTTCCTCTGCTATGGTCTGTCTCTCTGCCGGAGCTCTCTTGCTTCTGGGAGCTCTGGAGAAGCTGGTCTTGTGCCACCTTCGGGGTCGCCCCAGAACACGTGCTTGGTGATCCCTCGACTTCTTGCGCTTGATCTATGGCGCCTGGGCAACAAGGCAGAGGACGCGCGCGGCACTCGCCGTTCGTCTACGTACAGGGCCCGCTGTCAGCAGCTAGAGTCTGCGCAGAGTTGGGCGTGGTGTCAGCGTGAGGTCGGAGGGTGTCTCAAGCGAGGGCCTCATCTTGTAAAGGAGTCGCCCCCCGTCCGCGCAGTTGGTGAGCGCTTGGGGAACAGAGCGCGCCTGGCGCCAAAGCCAGAGCCGCGTCTAGAGAAGGAGCGGCCCTCCGCCTGTGTAATGATTGGAAGCTCTTGAGGCGAACGCGCGCGGCGTGAAGACGTGAGCCACATTTCTTAAAACGTTCCGTCCATCCCCGTAACCATTTTAAGCTTTCGAGGCGAATGTGCGCGGCGCGAAGGCGAGAGCCACATTAAGCACGACCCGCCCTCCATCCGCGTAATTGTTGGGTATTGTATTGTAAGCTTCGGGATCGTACATGGTAAGGGAGTCTCAGGCGAAATGCCCAATCCACACTGCCGACACGCCTGGTGGTGCGACGAAGAGTTCTTTGCATTGAATAACAGATTTCATAAGGAGAGCGATGGCGGATAGGGGGGGAACATCTTCTCTGACGTTTCTTAATGGAGCATCCATGTTCTTTCGGGGGATGTTGCAGAGCTCTGGGAGTTTCCAAAGGAGAGGGGGGAGGGATAAGGAGAGAGGGAATCCGGTTACGTCAGGCCTACGTCGAGGAACCTTTGGTTGGCGCGTCGCGCCGCCGGTCCTGGCCCACCACGCGCCAGCGCGAGACACGCTAACCACTTCTCAGTCCCCGAGCGTCAATGTCCCGAGCTTCTCCCGAGCCTCGGCCCCTCGGAGCGGAGCGACATGCTGTCAGGTCACAGGGTATGGCGTCTCGCTGTGGCCACCGCCGCGACACGCCAAGCAAGAGTGCCTGACCGTTGCTCCCTTTCCCCCAGCCCTCTCTACCCGTGTGGGGGCTCCAGGTGCACAGCGGCATGCTGCTGCGGGACGTGTGGAACCTGGAGCTGCACAAGCTCTCCGCGGAGGCCCTGTCCACTCGCTCGGGAAGCGATGCCGTTGCCCCGTCCTCCTGTCGTGCCTGCCTGCCAGTCTTTTTACCCTTGCTTCCGTCGAGGGACTCATGGACCACGCAGCGGTGCGTGAAAAGGCACGCCAGACGTTCTCCCGCGATCTCGACGCTCTGGTACCTTTCTCGGGCCCGGGGGCCAGAAAAAAGACGCCCCGCGGCGAAAACTGGTCCTGCAGATTGTCCAGACGGCCCTACGTCGTGAACAAAATCACGACGTCGGTCTGGGATGGTAATTTCTTCCTCCATCCTGAATTCACGAGCCTGGAGGCAAAGCTGGCGCATATACTGCCCCTTTGTTCAGCACCGCCTTGCAGACTGTTTCTGAATGCCCATATATCGATGGCGCGTTCGTAATCCGTATGGGGACTCGAAACTGGCTCTGCCTGGTGGAGCCGTTCATACTTTGTGAGAGTAGGGCAAGTACGCATGTGTGGAGCTTTCCTTTCGTAATCCATCGCATGCTTTCCTGGTCCAAGCTCGCCTCAGTGCTCCTGTGCTCACTACCTGTCGCACCATTGTAATCTACGAGTCTTTCGAGACTGCAACATTCATTTAGTGGGCAGGAAGTCATGGACACAGCTCTTTGCTAGAGAGTCCTTCACTTGGGCTTCAACGATTTTTGTGAGGACGTCTGCTTCGTCGAGGCCCCAGTCGCAGAGATAGATGCGCGCCCCGCCCAATCGTATTCGATCGTCATGCACGGTCACACAACGGAAGGGTGAGCAAACTGTTCCCTGTAAGTGAGGAGTCTTTGGTGTGTACAGGTGCTCCTTTTCTCCCATCCCCATTGCCCTTCCCTCTTCCCTTCGTCTCGCCCTCCCTTCCTTGTCTTTGTTCTCTCCTCGACTCTTCCTCTCCTCCTCCATGAACGGGCGGCACGGGAACGAACACTGGATCTTTCTGCTATCTCTTTCCCTTCACTCCCCCACCCTCCCATCAGCTCAAAACGGCCAGCAGGGGAACAAACCTGGGGAGTCGAAGACAAACAGTGGGCGCACACGATGGCGCCCTTAGGGTCAACGACAGCTCATCCCAGGGGTCCATAGAAGCTCCTTGCCCAGGATGGTCGCAAGATGGCCCCGAGCGAGTCGCATGATACACTCTTGCCCCGTGCTCTGCCCATTTTTTACATTCGTCTCCACCTGGTCATCTACCCTTCCCTGTCTGTCAGCAATCAGCAGCCATCACCATCAGCTCACGGCAAGTACACCTTAGGCGATGCTTAAGAAAACTTAAGTTTTCGGCCAGAGTCTCGATTATTCTTAATTTTTCAATGGAAATCCTAAGATTTTAATGGAAATGTTGGGTTTTTATTCAAGTTCTGAGACTATGAATTTCTTAACCCATGATTTCTTAAGCATTTCGCAGGGTGTAGCAGGCAGCAGCGACCAAGCCGAAATGCATGTTGCGCATGACTCCACCACAATCTTGCGGCTTGTCCGCGCGCGGCCTTCATATTTCTACTCGGGTCCTGCGCGCATGTGCTTCACGGGCGGGGTTCGTGGCCCTGTCGGGGTCTTCGTCTCATGGTTTTGCTCTCACGCTCACCTCCTGCAATCCCCCTCGAAACCAAGCGCAAGTTTTTCATGGTGGTCGACGCGCGAAACGCAACCCACGGGGTTAGATTTTTGTGCCTGCAGTCGCCGATTCGGGCACGAACCTTGAAATTTTTGGGCCTGGAGCGCCGCCACGTCGCGGGAAAAACCTGCGCTTGATTTCGAGGGGGGGCGTGCCCCCTCCCCCTTCCCCATCCCCCCCATTGCCCTCTTCCCTCCTCCGCCTCCATCCCTTCTTTCCTGCACGAAGCCGGTCCTCCTCGCCGCACCGCTCGACGTGGCCGCGGGCCGGTCCATCTGTTTTTGGCGCGAGGCGTCTTTACGCTTTCTCACCTCGAAGCTGAAACTTTTGTAGGGGGCCACATGCGAAGCCTGCCCCTGCCCCCCACGAGTTCTGAGGGGGAGGGTGGGGTTCACTTCTTTCGGGAGCTCCCGAGCGAAGTGGACCCTCCCCCTCCCCCTCAGGAATCGTGGGGGGCAGGGGTAGGGTTCGCATGTGGCCCCCTAACATTCCAACAGCGACACGGGTGGAGGCCCGGACCTTTCCAAAATGGGGCTCTCGCTTCAGCGCCGTGCACATGCGTCTTACGAGCTCGCAGCGGTGACGGGCGGAATGCGGTGCATTTTCAAGTTGGTGCGTTCGCCTCAGCGTCGCGCACGTGCACAAGAGATGCTTACAGCAGTTACGCCGATGGAGGGCAGTTCCTTTTTTGATGATTGGGCTCTCGCTTGAGTGCCGCGCATGCCCGTGTTAAAAGTTTGTTGCGACTGCAAGGTTGCAGGCTGTGGTTCTTTTTCAAAACGGGGCTTTCGCTCGATACAGTTTCAAAGCATGTCGCCGCAGGTGTAGACTTGTACAGCACTGCCCATGTGGAGGCCCAGTCTCTTTCAACATCGGGTTCTCGCCGGAGCGCCATACGCATTCGTTCTCAGAGCTTGCAGCAGCTCTGCGGGTGGGGGGCGGTTCCGTTTTTTGAGGATTGGGCCCTCGCCTGCGCGCCGCGCGCACTCGTAGTATCAGTTCGCGGCAACTGCAACGTTGGAGGCTAGTTGCTTTCAAAATGGGGCTTTCGCCGGAGACAGTCTCCCTCAGAAGTTGCGCAGGCGGAGGCCTAATCCTTTCCGAAATCGGATTTTCATTTCAGCGCCGTGCGCATTTGTCTCAAGAACCTGCAGATGGTTCACGGACGGAGGGCGGTTTCGTTTCAACATGGGGTTCTCGCCTGAGCGCCGCGTGCGCTCGTTTCAAAAGCTTGCAGCTTTTGCAAGGGTGGAGGCTCGTTCCGTTTCCAAATGGGGTTTCGTGTGAGAATCGCTCACATTCGCTTGAAAAGCTTTTGTAGCAGCTACTCGGAGGGAAGGCTTCTCCTTCAAACGATGGGGCCCTCGTACAGCGTTGCGCGCATTGCTTCCAAATTGCTGCGCCAGTTTTCAAGGATGACGGCCGGTCTTTTTTCCTGGCGGAGCCGGGTGAAATTCATTGCCCTTCGCTGACTGACCGACTGAACTGAACTGATATAACCTGCAATGAACTGCACTGAACTGACTGAGCTGGAGGGGCACTCTTGAAAACACATGTCACACGCCATGGCACACCCGCAAATGCAACCAGGCGACGCATTTCAACCCGCCCGCGGGCGCAACCGCAACAGCAACGAGGAGACACATTTCAACCCGCCCTCGGGCGCAACCGCAATCAGGCAACACATTTCGACCCGCCCGCGGGCGCAACCGCAACCGCAACCAGGGGGGCGCCTTTCAAACCGCCCGCGGGCGCAACCGCAACCGCCACCAGGCGACACATTTCAACCCGCCCGCGGGCGCAACCGCCTGAGGAGCAGGAGGTGCTTGAGGAAGAGGCAAGGGAGGAAGAGAGGGAGCGGGAAGAGGACCACGGGCAGGACGGCCAGGAGGATGACGACGATGATGAGGAGGGGGGATGCAGGGGTGGTCGTGTGTCAGGGGGATGCAAGAGCAGGTGCCGGTGGAAAAGGAAACCCAATGGCACGATAGGAAGATAGAGGGCCTGGAGGATGAGAATGATGAGGCAGATAAGGAGGACTAGGAGGAGGAGGAGGACGAGGAGGAAGAGGAGGAGGAGGAGGAGGAGGATGACGCGTTGCCCGTGGTTCCTTGCTAGGGCATTGCAGCGGGGAGTCCCCATTCCACGCTGCTGCCTCTGATTCAAATCGAGCTCTCGATTGAGACCCTCTCGATTTCAACGACCAGACGCTTGATCATATGTAGCAGTTGCACCGATGGAGGGTGGCGCCCTTTCCAAACAGGGGTTATCGTGTGGGGTGTCCTCAGTTCTAGTGGCCAGATGAGCAAGCTGGTGCAGCTGCTACACGGGCGGGGGGCGGTTCTTTGTCAAAACGGTGTTCTCGCTGGACATTTCGCTGAGTTTTATGATCCTATCTGATCGCGTTCCTCATAACTTGCTAGCTGGCTGCAAGGCCGGTTCTTCTCGAACGGGGCTCTAGTCTGAGTGGAAGGCCCATAGGGGTGCTCGTTTCTCGAGGGGGCCCTTCTGAATCGAAAAGAGGCATTCGTTTCATGGGGCGCAGGGGTGTGCTGCGGCATCGTTGTTGCATCATGTGGTTGCTCTGGCCCTCCTCACCCCCTTCTCCCCCTCGCCTCCACTGCGGTGGAAGACGCAGGTGCAGGATCTCGGGGAGCAGGCGAAGCAGGAGGAGCAGATGGAGGCGAAACTGTCCAAGTTGGACAAGATCTGGCACCCAGGGCGGGAGAGGAGGGCTCTCCCTGCCTCCTCTTGATCCTCCTGCCTCATACATTTCGCAGACGCCTGCGGCGACTCACCGCCGCCCCTGCCTTTTCGAAGCGCCCATGTGGCCAAACGTTGGGAGGAAAAGCAGGAGGAGAGGGAGGAAAAGCAGGAGGAGGACGAGGAGGAGGAGGTGGAGGACGAGGAGGAGGAGGAGAAGGAGGGGGGAGGAGGAAGATGAGGATGAGGTCTCTTGAGGCATTCTTGGGACCTCCTGGGGGCGGGCTTCCTCGGAGACTTTTGGGCTGAGATGCCTTCTGTGGGGTGTCCTGGGGCCTCTTAGGGGCCTCTTGGGGCCTCTTGGGGGCCTCTTGGGCCTCCTGGAGGCTTCTAAGGGACGTCTTAGCTTTTGGAGGCTGTCTTGGGGCCCGCTCTGGGCGGTCGTGGGACCCTCTTTGGGCGCTCTAGGGCCGTCTTGGAGGTCTACAGGGCCGTCTTGGGGCAGTCTTGGCGGCTTCTTGGGCCGTCTTGGAGCCCTCTTGGGCAGTCTTGCGGGCCTTTTGGGGCCTCTTGGGCCGTCTTTGGGCGATCTTGGGGGCCTATGGGGCCGTCTCGGAGCGCCAGGAGCACGAAAAGGCGAGAACTTTACAATAATTGAAAACCCTATGTGAAATCAATGATTCTGGCCTCCTGGAGTTCCTCATGGAGCCCCCTTGGGGAGTCTTAGGGGCTTCTTGGGCCGTATGGATGAGTTCTTGGGGCCATCTTGGCCGTCTTGGAGTCGCCTTGACAATATTGACCTCTCTTGGGGCTATCTCTGCCGTCTTGGATGCATCTTACGTAGAGGCCATCTTGGGACCATCTTGGCATTCTTGGAGGCGAGTTTCCGGTTCTTCCCCAAATGAGTAAACAATCAACCAAACGTCTAGCACGCCGTGCACCCCCGTGGCAAGCCAGCAGGAGGCGGCAGATCGAAGACGCCTACGGCGAATCACCGCCGCCCCCTGCCTTTTTGGAAACGCCGATGTGGCCGAAAGTTGGACAAGAGCTTGGCCAAGCTATCGGACCATGAGTTCCCCGAGTCGGTTTGGAAAGCTTTCGGGGAACACATGGGAGAGAATGATTATGAACAGGAAGAGGAAGAGGAAGAAATAGAGTAGGAGGATGAGGGTTGTTAGGAGTCTCTTGGGGCACCCTTGGGGTCTGTTGGGAGCTTCTTGGGGGCCTCTTCGAGGCCTCTTGGAGGCATCTTGGGGGCCTCCTTGGGCCTCTTGGGGGCCTTTGGGGGCTTCCTGGGGGTCTCTTTGGCCGTCTTAGGGCGTTCCTGGTCCGTCTGACGCCGTCTGGAGCCGTCTTGGGGGCCTCTCTGGGCCGTCTTGGGGCCCTCTTGGGGCGCTTCAGGGCCGTCTTGGAGGCCATGTTGGGCGTCTTGGAGGCCTCTTGGGCCGTCTTGGGGCGCTCTTGGGGCCGTCTTGGGGGGCCCTTGGGCCGTCATAGGGCCTTCTTGGAGGCCTCTTGGGCGATCTTGGGGGCCTCTTGGGCCGTCGGAAGGCCGAAAAGAAGAAAACGCAAAAAACCTTGAAAAACCTAAGGAAAACCAATGATTTTGGCCTCTTCGGGCTCTCCTGGAGAACGTCTTGGAGGCCTCTTGGGCCATCTTGGAGGCATCTTGGGGCCATCGTGGCCGTCTTGGAGGGCATCTTGGGCCGTCTTGGAGGCATCTTGGAGCCATCTTACCCGTCTTGGAGGCCATCTTGGCCATCTTGGAGGCATCTTGGAGGCCATCTTGGGCCATCTTGGCCGTCTTGGAGGCCATCTTGGGCCAAGTTGGGGCAACAAAGGCATTGACAGATGGATTTTCGGAAACTTACGGGTGGTCGGCGGGACGGGCCGAAGCCCACTGGGGAGTCCGCCGCCCCCTGCTTGCAGGGGTGCACGGCGTGCTGGACGATTCAGGTTTTGGTTTTGGTTCTTTTTCTAAAAGAACTCCCCAGTGGGCTTCGGCCCGTCCCGCCGGCCACCCGTAAATCTCACAAAACCCATCTGTCAATGCCCAAAAACGGCCGTTTCGCTCGGGACATCCTCAAAAAATCGCGAAGATGGCCCAAGATGGCCTCCAAGTCCGCCCGAGATGGTCCAAGACGGCCTCCAAAACGGCCCAAGAGAGTCCAAGACGGCCCAAGACGGCCCAAGAGGCCCCCCAGAGGCCTCCCAGACGGCCCAAGAGGCCTCCAAGAGGTCCTCCAGGAGAGTCCGAAGAGGCCAAAATCATTGATTTTCCCTTGGTTTTTGAAGGATTTTGGCATTTGCGCCTTTTCGGCTCTCCGACGGCTCAAGACGGCCCAAGAAGCCCCCAAGATCGCCCAAGAGGCCCCCAAGAGAGCCCCATGATGGCCCAAGTGGCCTCCAAGATGGCCCCTAGAGGGCCCCAAGAGGGCCCAAGAGGCCTCCAACACGCCCAAGATGGCCTCCAAGACGCCCAAGATGGCCTCCAAGACGGCCCTGGAGCATTCCAAGCGGGCCCCAAGTCGGCCCATAGAGGCCCCCCAAACGGCTTCCGACGGCTTCAGACGTGCCAGGAACCCACCAAGATGGCCGAAGTTGGCTCGAAGCTGGCCCGAGACGGCCCAAAAAGCCCCAAAGATCGCCCAAAGCTTGCCCAAGAGGCCTCCAAGACGGCCAAGATGACCTTCAAGATGCCCACGTGTTCCCCGAAGGCTTTCCAAACCGATTCGGGGAACACGTGGTCCGATAGCTTGGCAGGTCTGGCCTCAACGATCGGCCACATAGGCGCTTCCAAAAAGGCAGGGGCCGGCGGTGATTCGCCGTAGGCGTCTTCGATTCTTTTAGAAAAAGAACCAAAACCAAAACCTGAATCGTCCAGCACGCCGTGCACCCCTGTGGCAAGACCACAGGGGGCGGCGGATCGAAGACGCCTACGGCGAATCACCGCCGCCCCCTGCCTTTTTGGAAACGCCGATGTGGCCGAAAGTTGGACTAGAGCTTGGCCAAGCTATCGGACCATGAGTTCCCCGAGTCGGTTTGGAAAGCTTTCGGGGAACACATGGGAGAGAATGATTATGAACAGGAAGAGGAAGAGGAAGAAATAGAGTAGGAGGATGAGGGTTGTTAGGAGTCTCTTGGGGCACCCTTGGGGTCTGTTGGGAGCTTCTTGGGGGCCTCTTCGAGGCCTCTTGGAGGCATCTTGGGGGCCTCCTTGGGCCTCTTGGGGGCCTTTGGGGGCTTCCTGGGGGTCTCTTTGGCCGTCTTAGGGCGTTCCTGGTCCGTCTGACGCCGTCTGGAGCCGTCTTGGGGGCCTCTCTGGGCCGTCTTGGGGCCCTCTTGGGGCGCTTCAGGGCCGTCTTGGAGGCCATGTTGGGCGTCTTGGAGGCCTCTTGGGCCGTCTTGGGGCGCTCTTGGGGCCGTCTTGGGGGGCCCTTGGGCCGTCATAGGGCCTTCTTGGAGGCCTCTTGGGCGATCTTGGGGGCCTCTTGGGCCGTCGGAAGGCCGAAAAGAAGAAAACGCAAAAAACCTTCAAAAACCTAAGGAAAACCAATGATTTTGGCCTCTTCGGGCTCTCCTGGAGAACGTCTTGGAGGCCTCTTGGGCCATCTTGGAGGCATCTTGGGGCCATCTTGGCCGTCTTGGAGGGCATCTTGGGCCGTCTTGGAGGCATCTTGGAGCCATCTTACCCGTCTTGGAGGCCATCTTGGCCGTCTTGGAGGCATCTTGGAGGCCATCTTGGGCCATCTTGGCCGTCTTGGAGGCCATCTTGGGCCAAGTTGGGGCAACAAAGGCATTGACAGATGGATTTTCGGAAACTTACGGGTGGCCGGCGGGACGGGCCGAAGCCCACTGGGGAGTTCTTTTAGAAAAAGAACCAAAACCAAAACCTGAATCGTCCAGCACGCCGTGCACCCCTGTGGCAAGACCACAGGGGGCGGCGGATCGAAGACGCCTACGGCGAATCACCGCCGCCCCCTGCCTTTTTGGAGACGCCGATGTGGCCGAAAGTTGGATTAGAGCTTGGCCAAGCTATCGGACCATGAGTTCCCCGAGTCGGTTTGGAAAGCTTTCGGGGAACACATGGGAGAGAATGATTATGAACAGGAAGAGGAAGAGGAAGAAATAGAGTAGGAGGATGAGGGTTGTTAGGAGTCTCTTGGGGCACCCTTGGGGTCTGTTGGGGGCTTCTTGGGGGCCTCTTCGAGGCCTCTTGGAGGCATCTTGGGGGCCTCCTTGGGCCTCTTGGGGGCCTTTGGGGGCTTCCTGGGGGTCTCTTTGGCCGTCTTAGGGCGTTCCTGGTCCGTCTGACGCCGTCTGGAGCCGTCTTGGGGGCCTCTCTGGGCCGTCTTGGGGCCCTCTTGGGGCGCTTCAGGGCCGTCTTGGAGGCCATGTTGGGCGTCTTGGAGGCCTCTTGGGCCGTCTTGGGGCGCTCTTGGGGCCGTCTTGGGGGGCCCTTGGGCCGTCATAGGGCCTTCTTGGAGGCCTCTTGGGCGATCTTGGGGGCCTCTTGGGCCGTCGGAAGGCCGAAAAGAAGAAAACGCAAAAAACCTTGAAAAACCTAAGGAAAACCAATGATTTTGGCCTCTTCGGGCTCTCCTGGAGAACGTCTTGGAGGCCTCTTGGGCCATCTTGGAGGCATCTTGGGGCCATCTTGGCCGTCTTGGAGGGCATCTTGGGCCGTCTTGGAGGCATCTTGGAGCCATCTTACCCGTCTTGGAGGCCATCTTGGCCGTCTTGGAGGCATCTTGGAGGCCATCTTGGGCCATCTTGGCCGTCTTGGAGGCCATCTTGGGCCAAGTTGGGGCAACAAAGGCATTGACAGATGGATTTTCGGAAACTTACGGGTGGCCGGCGGGACGGGCCGAAGCCCACTGGGGAGTTCTTTTAGAAAAAGAACCAAAACCAAAACCTGAATCGTCCAGCACGCCGTGCACCCCTGCAAGCAGGGGGCGGCGGATCGAAGACGCCTACGGCGAATCACCGCCGCCCCCTGCCTTTGTGGA